GTTGGGGGAAGGCCATGAGAAGGAGTAAGTGATGGTTATACCCAATCCCTTCTTCCATCACCTCAGCAGGGAGGCTTCCCCAGGGGGGCAGACAGAGCCATGGGTATGGACATAAGAAGAAATTATGACGGCGTACAAGGTGGGGGGACTTTACCACTTGTTAGATGCACTCTGGCGCATGGACGTACCCAGTGGCAAATGGAAACTAAACCATAGTAGCTCAGCCCTTGGCAAAAGAGGAGCAAGTTATCACAGTTCAGCTTTCATTTCCTGTGCGGTAAGAGCATGCACACAGGTGCCAAGCAGCTGATGTGCAGCAAAAACCCGCTGCCTTTTACCTCCCAGAAAACAGCTGGGTTGTCCAAACCCTGGAGAGGCTAAGGGAAAGGACTCCAGCGTGCCCTTCGCCGCTGAATTTGGCTCTGAATTTCCTCTGGCCACACACACGGATGCAGGGAGATGCAATAAATGGAACAGGGAATTTTCTAATCAACCCCCTCTCAAAATTTCAAGCCAGGGTCCACTGCAGGTCCCCTCCACCTGGCTGTGTCTCTGACAAAGAGCCCCAAACAATGGACATCTGAACAAGAAAGGGAAGGCCTGAGGCTGTCGTGTGGCCCTGGTACAGGCTGCTCCAAGCACAGATGAGTAGCAAGAGGGGATTGAGGTGAAGAAAAAACAACCTGGAGAAAGACCATTGCAGATCTCACTTCCACTAAAGCTACTCTAACCTGGCAGAGTCCCTGCGCTGTGAAGTGCCGTTCACAAAGGAGGCCTTACGTATGGCGTGGAAGACGGGAACTTAGGGAGGACAGCAAAGATCCCTAGAGCAGGTGCTAGGAGTGGCGAGTGCTGTTGGAAACATCTGACATCCCTCAAACGAGAGAGGCAGGAGGCCGTTGCCACTCATCCCTCTCGGCGGCTGGACCAGCTACTGTTGCAACCCTACCGAGGCTGCCAGAAGAGGCTACAAAAGATACCACTGCTGCCTGTTTTTGTTTTTTTTTCCAGGGATGCCTCCAGCAGCTTTGTGTGTACAGCCAATTTGATCATTTCCCTTGTCTGGGCAGATCGTTTAAGTGTGGACTTTTCGCCCAGAAACAAAGGCAGCTTAAAAAAAGCAGTCAATAAAAGGGAACTATGATGATAAGATGACAAAAGGAATTGCTGGAGAGAGAGATGCAGGCAGGTGCAGGCCCTAAATCTCCTGTGAAAGTCCTCCATTTGCAAATGGACTAGATTTCACTTTGAAAATGTCTGTGCTTCCTAGACTAAGCAGCATCTGCCGACAAGAAGCCCGGGGCTCCAGCAGTTACATTGCCCACATCCATGCTTCCATGGCCTCACTGTACAATCCTCTTGCATGTGTCTGGACAATCCCCTTGTGACACGTTTGCACACTTGGCCTGACTGAGCAGCCACCAGCCACTGGCAGTCATTTTTGCAACTGTGTGTGCAAGCGGGGTCGGCATGCCTGAAAAACACACGGGCAAATGGGCACGAATGGCACCGTCCTAACCAGCTCTGCCCTGACCTCAGGATGCAAGGAGAACATGTGTCTTTCTGACTATTTTCCTTTGGTGAAGACCTGTTGGGCCAAGCCCTGCTGAAGGAAGTGGGGTAACCTCACCTGTCAGATTTGGCTTGCTGTGTGTCTTCCTGCTCTCTATGCCAGTCATCTCTGTACACCACCTCTCATTTGGGAGGGATTCAGTGGTTTGTAGGCCCGGGGGTAGCTCTTTGCACAGGGGGGAACACTATCCTCTGTCTTTGGATACCAAGCCCATGTATAATGCAAGATGCTGGGGGGCAAGTTGCCATGAGACCCGGCTTCTGCTGGGCACCCTGTTGTCTTAAAGTCTCATCAGTCTATGTTAATTCAGAGGCAGGAGATTTCATAGGCAAGAAGCTACGCTGTCAGGTGAAGTAGGTTGTTGCCTATGAAAGCCTCATGCCCCTCTGAAGCAGCTGGCCTCCATGGTGCCTCCCTATTCTGCCTCCCGACTGACTTCAGACCAAGACAGCGAACTCCAGGTAAGTGCATTTGATCTTCAGTTTGACTCTCTGCTATTCTGCAAGCTGGTTGTGTTGGTTCCTTGACCAGCTGCTGGAGGCAGGTTTCACTCAGCTTGATATTAAATGTCATTTTGCAAAACTGAACCCAATAGCTTCCCCTTAGGGGAAAAAAAGCAATGAGAAGAGCTGAAAATCGCGCTATCCATTATCACCTCATGCCAAAAGCAGTCCTGTAAAACGTGCTCACCGGTGCATCCACCTCACACTCAGAGGTTAGCGCACGGGGATCTGATCTCCTGAAATTCGAGATGATCCTTTCTCTATCGTTGCTCCCCTCCCGTGTTTCTATTCCCAGTCCTTTGTGCCTGCACGCGGCCATCCAGAAAGCAGTGCTCAGTGTTTTCCCCCCCGGTGCTGTACCTGAGTGTCCATTAAACTGCCGTGACATCAGCATGTCCTCCGTAATGTAAATGCACATGTCTGGGGTGACCTCCAGGGACGACTCGCTCAACTGCTCAAGGTCCCGGGGGTCATCGACCAGCATTTCTATCTCTGAATGGGAAGAGGAGAAGAAAGAAAGTCACCAATGGGGGAAGAGCAGATAGGAGAAGAAAGAAAAAAAAATCCAGATGCTTCCTAGCAGAGATCAGGTCTCTAAAGGCCCAGCAGAAGGAAAATTCTCTGCAGGTTTATAGCAGTCCTGGCCCTGAAAAAGCAATGAGGATTTCAAGTCATGTGGGCACAGGGAAAGCTAGAGCAAAGGAGCATCAGCTATTGTGTGCAATACTGTAGCACTGACAAGCATCCAACAAAGAGGACCCTACCCAGCCCTGCCTGCATGCTCCATCAAACAGGAGACACTTTGAAAAAAAAAAAAAAAGCAAACAGAAATGTCTTCTTAAAAAACCCAGCCTGCTGCTTAAATGGGACTAAATGAGAAAATGGGTCTTTATTGGTCTTGGTAAATGGGTCTTTACGAGTGTTGGTAAATGGGTCTTGAATGGATGATTCCCCTCTCTCTCTCCCCCGTCACTGAATTGAAAGTCTGAAAAATCTGGCTGCATCTTAAATGTACAGGGATCTTAAATTTGAAGGAAGGTGGGACCTCAGGACTCCTGTGAGACGGGGCAGGGCAAGGGTGGGCCCTGGGGACTGCGGGCACAGCAGATCCATTGCCAGTTCTGCCTCTGGCTCCTATGGCAAATCTCTTGTACCAGGATGCTGCCAGGCTGTGCTGGGCTTCTCAGTGCACAGCCCTGAGCTAGCAGCACTGCTGGTGTCTGTCTCAGCCTCCCCAGAGATCAGCCTGGTGAGAACAAGCCTCCTGGGATAGGGAGGACACCCAGAGCCCTTTCCTTGCAGTAATGCAGACTTGATATAAGCCTGCTTTGTTGTGTGCTGCATGTCTCCAGGGCCAGGCAGCTGACAAGTGGGAAGCCCGATTGGCCTGGGATGCAAAGGCAGATGGCTTTGGGAACAACACCAGCCCTGCAGGACTCCCTCGGGGTGCTTACCATCATCCTGGGAGTCGTCCTCCAGCCGGTCCTTGCCCCCGCTCTCCACCCCAGAGGTGTGGGAGCTGCCATGACTGGTCATGGAGCTGCAGGTCTTCAGTTTGCGGTGGATGCTGGCTCCCAAGAAGCCATCCTCGGGGCCCGGCTCGCGGGGCTTGGGGTCAGCTTCGATGCCGGAGGTGTGGGAACTGCTGTGGCTGGCAGTGGAGTGCCGGGAAAGGCGCTTATGCTTGATGCTGCCCGCGCTGCTGCCGCTGGCCCGGGACCGCTTCTCCAGCTGATCCATGTCTAGATCCAGGGTGTCGCTGATGTATGACTCGCGGTACTGCTTCTTCTCTGCAAGGCAAGGCAGCCCCATCAACATTCAACCCCCTTTCCAGGGAAATCTCAGCTTCATCCTCCTCTCTCCTGCCCCCCTGCCTTGCTTCCTGCCCCTGGCTGGTGGCTGGGCACTCTGCAAGCCCCATGTGGGGGGAGAGCACCACCCTAGCATCCACCAGTGAGCAAAGGGCATCAGGGGGAGGCTGGCCCACAGCTCCCCAGTACTGCCCAGGGGGGCAACTGGGAGACACCCACTGGTTGTGGCCGCTGGAAAAGGGCCTTTGACTATTAAACCTCTGACTGTGCTGGGTCCAAGTCAAGTCAGGGCCTGCAGAGAGAGGGGCTGCAAGAAGCCTGGACCCCTGCTGCACAAGGGGCAGACCCTGCAGCAAGGGGGGGGAATCCCAGGAAAGCAGGGCTGGAAGGGAAGCAGATCGAGGGACGTGTGAACAGGTGGTAGGCTGGGGGCAGGTGAAGGCATCACTAGCTGGTGCAACTCACACCCCTGGTTGGGGTGTTGCGAGGGCACTGGGACAGCTGGGTTCAATAAGGGGAGAGACAAGCAGGTGGGGTATCCGTCCATTGGGGCTGTTGCACACCCCAACCAGGGAAGTGGCCTCAGGCTTGGGGTACTGCATAGACCGGCAGGGGACAGGTCTCTCTTCCTCTGAAGCAATCACTACTTGCTTGTTAGCAGGACCCTGGTCTGACCCAGGCATTGTTGTGTCCTTATGAGACAGAGGCAGAGCTGGCCCCAGCCCCCAGTGTACAGGCATGGGAAATGGGTATCACAGCAACAAAGCTGTGTGCAAAAAGCCTCAGCACCCCCAGCCCTGATCCTTGGCTCAACCAGGCCCTGCCAAAGCAGGCCACTAACTAATGAGGCCTGCGTTTATCGCTCCCTCCATGCTCCTTTGATGGCTGGGGCCCTTATCAGGAGGCCAGCACTTCCCAGCAGTGTGTTTACTGCACCGCCTGCTATGCTGAGGGCCCACACAGACGGCGAGTCTGTTCCCACATGCAAACTGGCCCCCTCCCAGAGACCAGCAGGGCCTGCCAGGAGCTAAACAACCATGCAGTGCTGTGGCCAGTCCCTCGGAGTCCAGCAAGAGCCTCTCCTCCCACCCCTGATGGGAGAGCTGCTGTGCACACGCCTGCACGAACTGGAAACCTGAGTGGAGGATGCTGCAGGCGGTGGGATCCTTTGGGCAGCTTTCATCTGGGGGCTGAGTCCCACTCCCTGCCTGGCTGCCTTGCACCTCTGTGGCCCCGTATGGTCCAAGCACATGGCTTTCAGGACAGTCCCCCACTGCACCCTTGCAGTCCTATGCATGCTAGGATGGAGCGCAGGGAGCTGCGGGGACCAGGGCTGCACCTGCTGATGGCTCAGGACCCGTGAACTTTGTTTTCCCGGATACAGAGTACGCCTGGTTTCAGTGAAACCTTTGCGAGCTGCTTTGGGTTTTCCAGCCAGGCAGGCCTACCTCCCTACAGGACCATTCCAGCCTCAGAAGAAGCATGGTTTATGAGGAAAGACTGTACGTAGGTGACTTAGGCTTGCGGCTGAGACGACTGCACTACAAAAGTAGACGTGTTCCCAGGGCTCCTCCAGATGGTCAGGTCAAGGCACAATGGGATCCAATGTGGGATCCACACAATTCTACCTCCTGCCACGTCACACACGCCTGGCAGGAGATGCGATTGTGGGATCATGCATCAGATCCTGCCACACCTTATTGCTGGTGCAGGGGGAGCCCGGGATCACAAGGAGGAAGGTCCTGCAGCTGGGGGCTCCTAGGCAGGGTGCACCTGCCTGCCCATTCAATTAATAGTGCAACAAGAACTTGTAAGATATCTCCACAGCTTATTCCTTGCCTTATGATGCCATTCATTGCTTTAAAGCATGGCTGCATTACAACTTTAGACGTGATTAACTGGCTAACCAGGTCTCATGTGCTGGGGGTTTCAGCACTTCAGGGGCTCAGGCAGGGTGGAATAAGACTGCACCAGGGAACCTAATAGGGCCTAGCCCTGTGTGTTAAGACAGTAGAAGAAACTGGAGCAAGCAGCCCCTCAGTTGTGCCCAGCCTCCCCCAGGGTTAATTCTCCCCCCAGGCTCTCAACAGCTGCTATGCCCCACTGCGGCACAGGCCCTTTCAGAGTCATGCCGCCACTGCCCGCCCAGGCAAAAGCAGCCAGCACAGCCCAGCCCAGTACCTTCATTCTCCTCCAGCCTCCGGACCTGGCGCAGGATTGGCTGCAGGTTCATGTAGAGGCGGTGACTGCTGCTGAGGAGCTCCAGGAGGTGCCTGGAGCGCATGGGGCAGCCCGTGTAGTAGATGAGTTTCCGGGCTGAAGGCAGCCCATCTGGCAGGATCTCGAATTTCTTACCCTATGGAGAACCAGAAGGAACCATCAGTGTCCAGCTGTGCTGCCAGGGTGCCCAGGAGAGTCTGGAGCAGGGGGATCCTTCGCCCAGGCCATACTGATTGCATTGGAAAGGCAGAACACCACCCCCCCAGGCATGTCGTCCCCCCTGCACCATGCAGGGAGCAGACAGGGTTCACCAAAAATTACTCAAGGCGGCTTTCGTGAAGAATTCAGCTGCACCAGAATGAAATCCCAGCATGTGGGACCCTTCAGCAGGAGCGCCTGCAGGTGCTTTCCCATTGGCCTGTTCTGCTCAGCAGCCTGTGCTAGGGAGGTCTGCCGGGCTGATGAGGACAACCTCGTCTGGGCTTACGCACCTCCGGATCCCCACAGCACCCGCCCTGTTGCTGTTGAAGTGTGCATGTGTGTGGGGGGGCATTCAACAGGACTGGGGTGTTTAACAAACTCCATTTGGGGTCTGAGCTAGCATGGTCTAAAGCAGTGGTGCTCAACTTTTTTAGACTCAAGGCACCCCTGGGAAAATGCCAGCTCCTAGTTTTCATAATGTGTTGTCTACAGAAGAATATGTATTTTTTTTCCTGTTGCAATGAACTCAGAAAGCCCACAGCAGGGCAGAATGGTTTTAACACTCTGCATTCCTAGTTGAAATCCTTGGGTTTATCTTGTGAATCCTATCTGCCCCCCGAACGGTGCTAACTAACATTGCGTGGTGCTCTGTGGGACCCCTGAAAGGATCTCACGGCATCCCAGGGCACCGCGGTGCCCTGATTGAGAACCGCTGGGCTAAAGGAACTGAGAGAAGAGCTCCCTCCAGATGGACGATTTCCCTCCACAGCTTTGTGAGGCATCTAGTGAAATATTCAGCAAGCTGGTGACTTTTTGACCTGGGAGTGCTCCACGCTCATTTTTCAACAGGAATTCTACAACCCTTTTCCTATCCGCGCTATTATGGGGAAAAGCCTCAAACTGGGACTGGCCGTGTTTGCATCTATATTCTTGATCTAGCTAGTAATCAGTACAATGCTCATGCTTGAGATGCTGTTTCTTGCTGCCGCTCCATTTACAGGGCAGAGCCAGGCACTATGAAAAACGGACAGCCCCAGCACATAAGATCTGCCATTTCCTGGGTTGGACCATAGGTTCGTCTTGCCCAGGATCCTGTCTCATTGCAGCAGATGTAGAAAGGGAGAGTGAACAGGGTATGACCAATTTTCTCCCTGTCTCTCTCCCACTTGCAGCCTCCAGCATTTAACGGTTAGGAAGATCTGATTCAGAGGCTGTATCCTTAACTCCCATGCTCAATAACTACTGTTACTGATGCTCCTTTCCTCCAAAAAATTATCCAGTCCCTTGGTGCATCTGGCTAACCTGTCAGCTTATACCACATCTGTTGGAAATGACTTCAACGACACACTGTGTGAAAGCTTTTGTTAGTTTTAAACTTACTACATGCTAGTTTCATTGTATGGCCCCTAGTTCTTGTCTTGAGAGAGACAGTAAATGAGAACTCCCTCTTGACTTTCTCTTGCCATTTAGTATTTTGTAAACCCTTCTCATGTTTCCTCTTAAAAGTCTCGTTTCTCAACTGAGCAGGTCTGGCCTCTTTAGTGTCTCCTCATCCAGAAGCCCTTCCATACAACAAATCACCCCTGCGGCTCTTCTCTGGACCGCCTCTAGTTCTTCTGTATCCTTTCTGAGATTGAAAGAGCAAATGGGAACGGAACCTGCACATCCAGTGCACGCTGCAGCTCTGAGCTCCTGAACTAGATAGGAGCCATTAACATATCTGAGACTATTTGCCGCATGCCTTAGAGGAGCCCCCAGCCTAACCTTTCCAGAGTAGCTAGCAAGTTTACGGAGGCCCAGCTTGCAGCACCCTGAGTTTGGGAAGTACTGGGCTCCTAGAAAGGGGGCTTTTGTTAACACAGATTGATAACTTTCCCAGCACCTCCAGCCGGCTTGTAGCCACAGGTCCCTGTTCTAATGACTGCATAATGGGCGCGTCTACACACCGCCATACAGCAACATTGCTATGGCGCTGTACTTTAGTCCTTTTGCACCCATAATACGGGTGGTTACTACGCTGTGAGCGTGGCGCATGGATAGATTTCACTGCTGTGTTGCTGTAGCGGCGTGCTATAACCGGGGAGCATGCCGGTAGATCTGCTGGCCGGTAGATTGCCATTGGATGGCGATCACGTGCAGACCTGCATGATCGCTGCACTGCTGTAGCATGTTGTACGGTGACGTAGCGTATTGCTCCATCTCCATAGCACAAAGTGTAGATGCGCCCAATGTTTCCCTGTTTCTGGCCTTGGTTTCAATCTGTTCCACTGGTTCTGCTGCTTTCAGCTGGGCAGTATTCAGAGGAGTTGCTCCTTATTTCCATGAGCACAATGGAGATCAGCATCCAGGTGTGCAACTAGCAGGAACAGAATATGCACTGATAGGGACCAGCTGATGCAGTTGGTCCAACAAAAGATACTTCCCTCAGAAATCCTTACCTCTCGCATATTAGACCATCTTGACTAAAACACCACCCCAACACTACAACTGACACGTAAAACACGTGCTGGACTGGATGCAGGCGAGTGGAGGAAGCTGAGGAGGAACAGGATTTTGCATTCTCCAAGCACCCTTTGCGATGTTATACTCACCACAAACACCAGTTTCCCCACGTTTGTCCAGGGGAAGTCGAAAAGCAACTGCCTTTCTTCATCCAAATTCTGGAGGAGGGCAAAAAAACCCAAAACAACCCATCACACATCTAGAATGGTATTTAGGCAAGCGGTGCATTATTGCCATTGACTTCATAACAGGTTGCAAAACCAGTCCATAAACTTCCTGCTCCCGCGTGCTCCGATACATGAAATGCTGCTTTAAAGACACGTTCTTAAGGAACTGTTTTGTGATGTAAGAAATCACATCCATGGCTCCGGACAGCAAAAGCATGTCATTCTCGTATGCAGCAGTTCAGCAAAGTACTTAAGTATTCGCTTAAGTCAGAGGTTTTCAACCTTTTTAAACAAGTGTACCCCTTCTGTCTCAAAGTTGCAGCTCATGTATGTACTCCTTTGTATTTTTTTCTTATTTTTAAGGGTGGGGGCAGATTGAGGCCCCATGGTGAGGGAGGGAGTGGGGCAGGGGCAGGCGTTGCTCAGGCGGGGCAGGGTGCGGGATGGGGTGCATGCAGGGGTGGGAGTCGCCACCCCCCACATGCCCAAGATGAACAGGTCGTGGCTCTATCCTGTGCTCCACCCCAGCTGTGCAGTACCTGCCCCTGCCCCTGCCTCCAGCCTCAGTCCCAGCCCCTCTCCCTCCCCCCACAACAAAATTACCAGCCGGACCCGGCTGCTCTCCACGTGGCCGGGCTGCGCTCTTGGCCGCCTGCATGCTGCGTGGTGGCCGCGTGCATGCATGCAGAGTTCTGCGTACCCGCTACGACCCTTTTAAGTACCCCTAGGGGTATGCATCCCCCCAGCTGACAACCACCAACTTAAATGCTTTGCTGAACAGGATTAGATTTAAATGTTTAGAGCATGATCTTAACCCGCCCCCGCCCAAAACTGAGGTTTATGGAAACACTGGCATTCACTGCAAATGGAACGGGAGGAGGGACTTTTAATGCTTAATTACTCTGCTGACTTCAGGCCTGAATCCATAGCTGGCTCCTGTAGCAATACCATTTGCCGATCCAAAGGTGAGACATTTCTGCCAACCAAATAGCAGGGGATTGTGTTTTTGAGAGAGTCTAGCTGATTTCTAAGTTCTCCAAAGCCAGCCAAAGGGTAACACTTTTCTTAATGCGTGCCAATCACTCTGCCTTCATTCTTTACCTGACTTCAGTGGGAGCACTGCCACTCGAACAGTACAGTGCACCCAGCGGGGGTCTAAGAGCAGGGTAGAGGAGAGATCCCGCTGACCGCCTTTACTGGGGCCAGTGGCTCATATCACACAGAGAAAAGGCAACAAATAATATTTGCCTGCAATGTCCCCAGCAAGAAGTCCACCCGCACAAATCTAACTGGTATCTAGCTCAGGAAGTTGCCTTTGCAACTGGTCTGTTTCTCCCACACTTAACCCCTTGCTAAAATTTAGCACAACTAACTTCCAGCAAGAGGACTGACCCAAAGAGACCGCTTCCCAGATTTCAAAAATGGTTGGCGAACTTCTAATTTTGTTTTTTAAATTAAGAAACATGATCACAGCCTGGATAAGTTCCACTTGGGGAGCAAATTTGACATCAGGTAAGAAAAACAGATATGGTGCCTTTCAGGTCAGGCAGTGTGACTTCCCCTAAGGCGGCATCTGGGCACGTGAGAACAAACCTGGCCCGATATATTTATTTAGATGCTTACCTGGAAGATCTGGATGCCCCGTGTTGTCAACCCAAGGGTCAAGGAGGCTTCAACTTCCCTTTTATCCTAAAACCAAACCAAACAAAAGCAGTGGTTTTAGTCCATAAATTCAGTATGCACTAGTATCCAGTGGAAGACTGCCACAAGAGAAAAGGCAACAGCCAACAAGGTCATTTAGTGGGCAACGATTGTAATATTATCCTATTCAGTTGCTGCTCTGTGCTGGCTCATTTTCCTCATCCGTGGTCTCCACAAGACTTTTGGCCCTGACGTTCAGAGGTGCAGAGCCACTGCAGCTCTCACGGTTTGCAAAAAAAGGGGCGCGAGTGTTTGGTACTTCTGTAAATTTAGCTCCTGCAGATTGCTCTTATGTAGTTAGATGCAATTTGTTGGGAGAGCACCGCCGTTCTTAAATCTAGGTACAAATGCAACCTCAGCAAGAGTCCCATTACGCTCCCCTTTTCACACCTCCCAGAAACAGTTTTCTGCTTCAGATTTACATGACAATGAGGCGTATAAACCCATCGCCTCTGCATTTCGCCTGCTCTTATAGTCCATTTGTGACTGGGAGAGATTTTGAAGCCTGGAGACAAGGACCACACAATTTCCTGTATCACTTAAGCCTACTGCATCTGTTCCAAGTGCTGGATGCGTTATCAAGAAACATCTACAGCAAATAAATCTACTCCTACTGGCTAGGAATATTCTTCTAATCACTTCCATGTGCTGTACAGTAACACCACTGAAGTCTCCAATGTTAAAAGTCTAGCATCTGTGCCATTAAAAATGCGCATAAATTTGCCCGGTTTATATTGGTGTATTTAATCTTAACAAACCTAAACAAACATCTCCTCTCAAGACACCCAAAAAAGACACAAATCAGAGAAAAGCGAGCAACGTTAAGGACAATCCCTGGATACAGGCCATAAAAGAACTCATATAAAGCTTTAGGATTTCCAAGGACAATGTTTGAAGAAGGAAGTTCAACTGGTCTTCACTTAAAATAAACTCACGCTTAAAAAAAAAAAAGAGAGGGGTAAGAGCACACCCTGGCAGGGTCAGAGGTCTCTGCTGCAAGAGGAGGTTTGCTCTGATTACTTTAGGAGTTATACAGCCATGTGTGACCCGGTATCATGATCATATATTGTAGGAATATGGGACTGGAAGGGACCGCCTGGGTCATCAAGCCCAGACCTGCAATCTCGGGCACCCTGTGCTAAAATCTCTACCCTACATGTACTGGACTCCAGCTTACAACTTGTTAGTGTGGTTTGACCCCACTGCTGCTCCCAGAGTTAAAAACAGCACCTCGCTGCTCTGGCGACTCAAGACGTATTCATGGCAAATTAGACCCACTTGTTCTTTTCCCAACATTGCCCTGCCAGTTAAGCAGCTTTTCCCCACTTATGCTCGCAGTATGTTTGTGGACATCCCCGTCCCAGCCTTTGCTTAGCTCTTCTGGTCCTGCCAGCCTGATCATCCTCACCACCTTCCTCTGCACCTGTTCCAGTCTGGAGCCATCTTCGGAGGACGTGGGAGACCGGATGGGGACACAGCCTTCCAGATGAATGTGGGCTATTAGGAAGGGTTTCACATCCATGAAAGCTTAAACACCATTGCCAGTGCAACCACGAGGGGATCTCAACTGTGACATTACCCTAATGATGGATCCTAAGGACTGCCAGTTTTCATAGCATAGGTCCAGGAGCGGGGCAAGTGCATGTAGTGTGTCCCGACTCCAAGCTTTGCTTCTTTGTCATGGAAAGAAGACAAAGAAGCAAAGAGTGATTTATGACCTAGTGGGCAGTGGGTTATCCTAGCCAGTGGGGTGGAAAGAGATGGGTTGGGGGTCCCTTTACTTGCATGTACAGGGGAGTACCATGCAACTCTTACTCTCCCATCCTAGCCAGAAGTCTGAGCAGCGTAAGGGGAACACGCTTGCTACAGACCCCAGTAAGGGCAGTGATCAACAAGCAACCGAGTCTTTGGCCCAGGACTAATCTGTCTGAAAGTCAGGCTACAAACAGACAATGCTTATGTCGCCAGAGAAAATATTTTCTCCTGGGAGAAAGTGCGATCATTTAGATGTCCATATCGATCGTCCCAGGACAAACCCTAAAAAGGTTTGTTGGATAGGAAATGCCAACAGTTTGTGTCAGGACATTGTAAATCTCTGTCCTGGGATTGCTAACCCCTAACTGGAAGGGCAATCCATGTACACACCAATCCCAGGACTTGTTTGCTCCGGGACAAACACAGACAGAGCTTGTTCCAGGACAAATGCAACATCTGTTTCTAGTCTAAAACCACATCGTCAGATCTGAGTGCACCCCAATGCACGATATGTTAAGGAGAGAGTTGGCCCACGCTGTTCTGATTCATTTATGAGATACATTTGGAATATGTCCATGCCATACTCTATACAACACCCGAGAAAGCCACATTTGATCACATAAAAATACGTACATAATAGGAGGCATTATTTAAAGAGCTCCTAGATACGTAATAGAGAGGTGTTGGGCGAGCCTGGTGGCAGGGGAATACTGACAGCACAAGAACCGCTGAAACCAGAATGTCTTCATAAAAACCCTCTTCTAAAATTACAAGAGCCAGGTCTTCAGCGAGTGGAAGTTGGTCTACTGAAGCCAGTGGCATGCGAATGACTGACCCGCTAATGCAATAAAGTTGTTGGGGGGGAGGGAGAAGAGTGGGGAGGTTGGTCCACTGACTTTGATAGGACCAAGATCAGGGCCAAGACTTAAATTTGGTGGATGCCTATACGTGACCAGCGAGGCTGCTCCAATGCACTGTAGTTACAGCGTGTTGGAGCAGTCTCAATTAATCGAGTCTGCTGGAGTGTAGTAATTGCTGTGCTCCAGCATCTCATTCAACGAGCTTTAGATAAAGCACCCCTGCCACCATTTTTAAATGCAGGGATGCTGACACACGACATGCTCTGGGTGCTTTAATCAAAGCAGCTTCCCCCCAACTCCAGGAGCACATGTATAAATGCCCAGTGTGCAGGGAAAATGCACTGATTTACTTTGCTATATCAGGCCCTCTGGCTTTAACCAAGGTACTCTGGACTCACTCAGATCTCAGTTCACTAATGCACTTGCTCGAAGTTAAGAATAGGCGTTAAGACAGGAGGAGATGCCTGGCTGAATGAAGGCCTAAGCGATCATCATATCAGACTGCTGGCACCAAGGACAGAGTCCGTTTCAATTTTACCCCGCTTCAGAGCGCGAAGAGAAAAATCAAGGCTTATGCCTTTACCCTGGTTCTTTCACTCAGATCATCTGCCTCTTCCGAACACTGAACTGGACGTTGTTAATTAATGAACCGGGAACGAGAGAGAGCGAGATGGAGGGAAAGTACATGTTGTCAGAGCCCTTCAGACATCTAGATGGAGCAAAAGTGAGCAATAAAGGGTCATTTCAATGATTAAAAGCCAAGAAAACAACACAGAGAATAAACCTGGCTGATATTTCCAGCCTGTTGCCATCTTCACAGCCTGCAGCTCTCTGGCTCTTTTTAATAATTCATTCCTTCGTAAGGATTATCGTGATTTGTATTTGCAGCTCACTGCTGCTTTGTTTTCCAGAAGACAAACTTCTCTTTAATTTGAAGAACATTACAAAACGGCTCGCGAAACATCAAACAAATTGCTTTGTTCCCAGGAGACAGCAAATGTAAATGTGTCGCGGGCGATGAAGAATTACCCCGGAAATCTCAGAGGCTGCATTGAATCCAGCCCATCCCGGCTTTCAAATCAGGGCTGTTTTCTCTCTCGGTTCTTGTAAACTTCTACAAATCAAAGTCCTACGAGAAGCGGCAGTACTCTGCCTCGCGGAGCTAAATACCGCCCCCCATCTGCAGCACAGACTGAGCCGCTATAATGATCAAGTGACATTTCGAAGGTGACTCTTCCCATTGCACGCTGGAAATGATTCAGCAGCTCCAAAGCCCCCCAGATCACAAGCCTGTTGCTCGGGCGGCAGAGCGGCAGCCCTCCCTTACCTTGTACAGCCTGTAGTAATGAACGGCCACGTCATCCAGCCGCACGGCCTCCTTAATGTATTTGAGATGGGCTTCCGAGGCCGTCAACTCAAACTGATCTTTGTGCATGTTCGGGATGTGCTTTAGGATGTAGTCTTTCCCGCGCTTGGTCACCACCTGGGAGGAGACAAGCAAGGGATGCTGTTCAGTGCCCGCAGCGGGGAGGGGAAGAGCAGTGTGCAACCAGCCGCTGCGCCCTTAAATGCTTGGCAAGTGCTAAAAAAAAGGGTTAGGCCATCACGCTCCAACCCCTTGTTAGCCTGTCTGCTTCAAACATAGTTCATGCCCTTGGGCCTTGCAGTCTTTAATGCATCAGCCCCATCCTTGCCACCACCCATCTGGTAGGGAGGTGCTATCATCGCCGTTTCCAATGGGTAAACTGAGGCATGGAGATGCTGAACGCTTCTCTATTGCATCGCAGCAGTGGGTCCCGACTTGTTGGGGGTAGAAAACGGAGGGCTCGAGTGCACCCTGCCCACGTCAGGCTTGACCCAGCGCTCGCCTTGTTTGCAGCTTGCCTGAGGATGGGGGTAGGCTCAGGCTGCCGGGTGCTGGGACCTGCCCCAGTGCTGAGTGACTGGGCCCGGGTCACATCAGACGTGTGCAGCTGAGGAGGGACCTGAACACCAGACCAGAGCATGGAAGGGATGGGATCCTGCCCAGTGCCATCTCTCCTCTCCCCGTGGGGCTAGGCTGGACATGGGTCAGGCAAGCCCCTCACCTCCCGAGTGAAAGCATCCATCTTTCCTTCACCCGGGAAGCTTTCCAAAAACACTCCGGAGCTGCTAACACCCACAGCAGATGTATGGAGAGCCTGAGCCAAAAGAAGCCAGGGGAATAATTCCTCCCCCTCCACCCCCGTTTTCACTGGGCTTTTGGATCAGGCCCTAAAGAGTCCCAGGAAACCCACAGTTGGGGCCCGATTTTTCTGCATCACGGGGCTGCACGACGGGATTCACGAGTCGGGGCGGATCTGGGGCTCAGGCAGTGCATCCGCCTATATATGGAGAATGATCGCGGAGCAGAGGGGTTTATAAACAGGGCTGACATTCCTCCCAATCGCAGTCGCATGATCTCAGTGCGGGCCCCGGCTGGGGGAAGGGGATGGAGAGCTGTACGGCAGAGCAGCAGGCGACGGCGCCACTGGAAGCAGGGTAAATCAGACCCAGCTGCGGTCTGCGCGGCTGTGCCCAAACGCGCTTGCTGGAAGCTGCCTTGCCTGCACTTCCCCCTGCAGACATCCCCTCCTGCCAGCCCTCTTGCAAGAGCTGCAGCAGAATAAATGAGTCTCCTCGTTTTGCAAGCGTGGAAGCAGGAACAGAGAGGTGAAGAAGCAAGGGACTGGGGCCCCAAACAGAGGAACAGATGTATATTGGTATTTGACATCAGTGGAAATGACCCCAGGGCAGGGATGGATCCAGAGCGGGGGGAGGCAATGTGGTCACATCGCACTTTGACCAGCTGGTCCCTGCTTTCAGCTGGCTCCGGAGCCTACTGCGCAGCTCTCGAGCAAAAGCTGCTCGAGGATTTGGAAGAGTTTAGGCAACCTCATTTGAGCACGTCCAGCCTGTTGCAGTTCTCGCTAAGGACCCTTTCCAGGGAGAAGCATTTACAGATCTGAAGTTAAAACCTATGCCCCTCACTTTGCTGGCATAGCTAAAAGTAGCCGGGTGTGGGGGGGAAGAAATCACTCTTTTAGCCGACATCGCTACTGCAACAAAACTGAACCGAAGCAGTTATTGCAGCAGCCAAGTCCTCTCCTTGCATCAGCTTATTTTGTTCAGAAAACGATCCTGGTTAAAAACCAGAAACAAAACAACCAACCAACCCCTTTCTCCAGTATAAGCTGGAGGGTTTCCCAGCAGAGCTCTAGCAGCAAACGCTGCCTGTTTTGGGCAACGCCTTCACGTTTATGAAGACAGATGCGGTGAACTGCAGGCAGAGGTGGGCACAACAGTTAATCAAATAGCTTCCCCCACTCCTTTCATAACCAGGAGAGAGATCCAGCTCATACGTCTGAGTGCCAGCTGTGAACGCCACTGTAACAAAGCCTGTGAACGCCCACGGAGCTTCAGCAGAATTATTCCAGCCGTTTAAGAAATAAAACACAATCCCAAAAAGCGTATTTTTACTTCCATTTTAGGCTGCTGCTTTCAAAGGAGCCTAAAGGAGTTAAATAAATACATCAATCCTATTTGAAATTCACAACATCGCTGAGTGCCTAACTCCTCTAGGCTCCTTTGAAATGCTCGAAGGGGGATTTTAAATGTCCCCGCAGTTGGTTATCAGATCAGCAAGCAAAAGGATGCCTGTGTGAGTACTGCGCAGCATATTAGAGCAACCTGCCAAAGCACCTTTGTATGACATGCAGCGACCCTGGGCTCGGCAGAAAAGGGAAAAAAGGGGTAATAACACTCAGGTTGAAAAAAGATGAAAAAGGAGTTGGCCGGCTTCAGGAAGTGCATAAATCAAAGGGAACAATTGGGCCTACATCTTTATTGACCTTGTTATGTGGCACAGCCAGGCCTGGCAGTGGCTACTGTGAAAAACACGAAGGTATCCAAGGTTGTAGCCATATTGGTCTACAGGAAAAGGCAATCAGGACTCAGAGTAGAGATGATACCTTTTATTAGACCCACAAGATTTTTGCAAAAAATATGAAAGACATTTTGCAATTAAAGAATTTTGGGGGTTTTTTTGCAAAAATCTCGTGGGTTTAATAAAAGATATCATCGCTATTATGAGCCCCAATTGCCTCTGGCACCAAGAAATCACGGGTACGTTGGTACCTGGCCTTCAAATACATACCAGGATATTGTGGGGCAGGCTCTGTAGTTGCTCCTTCACTCAACTAATACTGATGGCATCTGCAATGCCTTGCCTGGAAACTGTTCACCTTTTCTCTAACGTTGTTTGAGGAAGTAGTGACTGCGGGAAGGACATCTGGGCAAGGCTGGGAGGCAACTGAATGTGTGGTCCCAGTATGATGTGGCAGCTCAAGGACGGACATATGAAATTGGGATGTAAAGGGGATGACTGTGCACCAGTTGCTCTGTGCTAAGTGCCTCTGTGCATGTGCTCTTACCCTGCGGGAAGCAGATGCTGAACTGATATAACTTACCCCTTTTACTGAGGGATGAGCTATTGTGGTTTAAGTTTCTGCTAGCCACAGCTAAGAGTGTGCACACAGGCATTTACCACTTGTGCTAAAGCCCTGCCTTGCCTTTTATCCCACATTAAATTGCCTGTATGCCCATACCTTTGCAAAGTGAGTGCAGGCCGTGGTAGCATAAGCAGAATATCGAGTCTGAAGAGGGAGGTGGCGTTACCCTGGCATGTGGAATTCACAAGATCCTTGCTGCAACTCTGGGGCCAGCTCCAGTGACCGCGTGGCTGAAAGGATGCTGACAGAGTGGAAACAGCTCAGCGGAAGAGCCATGGGAACGACTTGTGGCCACAGCTGAAAAGCATCCAGTGTGCAGTTATAGCGCCACTGAAACGGGAGCATGGCATTTTGAGCTGCTCTGCTTTCTGCCTCCAGACAGGGGTACAGCAGGTATCCAGCGCTCCGGCCTGCATGTACATGGTCCGTGGAGGGTGCTGGCACCCAGGCTTTTAAGTCTTGAGTCTTTTACCTGCACCGGGCACTTTGCAGGGTATCAGAGCTGGCAGGAGGGGCACTGAACGGGAGCTTAGAGGATGGGGCTTCAAGCTGTAATGCTGTTAGAGGGTGACCAGGGACACGTCACTCACTCTCAGGGCCAGAGCTGTGTCTACCTCTTAGATCCTCCAAATGGCACCTTATTCTACCCTGCTCAAGTCCCTGCAAAAACCCTGACACATCTAATATTGCCCATCTTTGCCTACTTCATGAAAAGCAGGGGGCCTTTCTGCCTTACTGGTTTTCAGGGACTCAAACTGGGCAGAACAGGATCACACATGGGGACCTAGTAGAGGGAACAGGCTGTGGCCTAGTGGCCCCTTCATCTCTGGGGTGCCACGAGGTGCTCACATCCTACATGGTGAGGGACTACACTGAGATGAGGTTTGTAGGTTTGAATACCAGCTCTGCCTTCCCCTCCCTGGGAGGCATTTTTTTAAGTCATCTAGCTTCTCTACCTCGGTTTTCCTGCCTGTTAAATGGGAATGGTGCTCTTAGGGGATTCGAGAGGATGGGTTTAAAGGTGGCAGGGTGTGAGGTGTTTTCAGCATGACAAAGGCTGAGACTCATCCTCATTTATTTCCAGCCAGCAGCCCGGCCAAGCTGGACGGGGAGAGAGGCGCTCGCTTGTGATGACGCTCAGCCTCGAGCCAAACCAGGACCTGCTCCCCTCCCGCTCTCACCAGCCACCGGCAGCCCGAGCAGCAAGCTCGCTATGCCTCTGTCCGTGCATACAAAGCCTGGCACGTGCGGGAGCCTTTGCAGGCTTGGAGCCCGCGACACAGGCAGGCTTCATGCAGCTGAAGACAAATGAGCCGCCCTGTAGAGCTGCTTAAAAAGGCCTCGTTACCTTGACATGCCTCTGCGTGGGGCGCCTGAACGTGTCAGATTCCAGCGGCTGGTAGAAACCCCCTCTCCCCAGAATAGCCTGGCGTCTAAAAATAAGCCAAGTGTTTTATAAACGGCACTGCTGTGCCTCTGCCGAGGTTTAGAAGGGTCTTGTCAGCAAAGCGGATGCCGACCTGGGGCCCAACCCAGCAAAGCAATTAAGCATGGGCTTAACTTAAGCCCGTGAGCAGTCCAGATGGACTGCATGCATGCTTAAAACTTCAGAGCGTGGCTGGAGCTGTGGCAGGCCAATAAATCCTGTGCAAAGTGCGGTCAAAGGCCCAGAGAACAGGCACTGAAGACACAGAGAGGAATGGCTTCTCCTCCCCAGTGTCTTGGTGCCTGTGCTGAGGTGACAGCAGCAGGTGCTGGGCCAAGGGCACCCCTGGGCTGAAACAGTGTAAAACAGCCTCCGTGTCATATTGCATCTGTGGGATTTTGGAGGAGATTTGTGTGCACCTGGCTGGGGTGAGAACCGAATGCACTGTGCAGGATCCAGGGCAGGGTATGACGGGACTCTCGGATGGGGGCAGCCAGGTGGGAATGGGGCACGTCCCTGGGAGCGTGCCAAGTGGGATGGAAACAAGTGCTGGATGTGTCTTTTCCTGCGCTAGGGGGATGAATGTTGCTGAGAGCCGAGGAAACCCCGCTGAAAGGCCAGAGCACTCCGGGGTGACGGGCATGGGCTAGCTTGGGCCAGGGTAGGGGCTGTCTCCCTCTTAGGGTGCCCCATACTGAATGTAACAGCTGTCATCTAGGTGGCAAACCACCCAGGACCTCCCAGGGCGGCAGGAACCTGGGACCTCATGGGAGACCTTGTGGGACTGCGGGCTGCTTGCAAGGGCCTGTCAGCAAGGGCAGGGTCCCGTGGGGCTCCTCTTGCCCCTAGGGAGTACGCTGGGGTAGCACGGCCTGCTCCTCTCCCCGGGCCTGGGCATGAGCTCATTCTGTCATGCCAGAAGCACGAAGGGCTCTTATGTAATGGGCATGACATCATGCTTTGCAGGCTGCAGCTATTCACAGCCCTGCAGCTGTCACAGGCTATTAATAATCCAGACTGAAGCATCGCCGGCATCTCTCGCGCACGACCCTCCGACTCGGAGGGGCAGGAGCGGTCTGTGGGGGGGAGTGCCGCCGGCTGCCCGTGCCCCCGCCAGCGCTCCCTTCCCTGTCCTTTAGAAAGGGGGTAGGGAGGGGGATGGGCTGCCTACAGCAGCCCCAGCCTGACCCCTGCGGCTACCTGTGCAGACAGTGATGGGCTGGGAGGGAAAGAGAAACTCAACCTCCCCTCCTGCTCCTTGCCAGGGCGCCGCTGAAAGCACCAGCTCAGCAAAATGGGCTGCTCCCCTCCCCCTTCGCAGCAGCAGCTGTGCAGAGGGAGGGCGAGGCAGGGGCGCCGGGTAGGAGCTCCACGATGCCTCGCTGAAGGGTTGGACCCAGCTCCGCTTGGGCAGGGCATGCCTAAACACAGCATGTGCAGGCACACAGGGCCCTCGGGCACAGCACTGCTCCTTGCGCATCAAGCCGTGTGGCATCGTCTCTGCATTCATGCCATCATCCTTGGGCACCACTGCCACCCAGGTCCAGGGGTCACGGGGGGTGGGAGGGTGTTGCACAGCTTCACCTGGACTAGTTGAGCACTGCAGAGGTAGTTTGCACAGTGGGTGCATCTAATCTTCATGTTTTTTTCCACCCCAGGCTGCAAAGCCCCTTGTTGCTCTCTGGCAGCCTGGCTGCAGCAGGTGTGATAGGAGGAAGGCCACCGAAAAGAATGCAAGCAGCATGGGTGCCACACACCAGCCTTGCAGTCACCCCCATACACCCTTCCTACATCTGCCCTTCCCTTGCTGCTCTGCTGCTTTGCACCCAGTAAAGCACAGCTAAGACAGCTGGGGCTCCTTCTTGCCTATTCATCCCCTTTTGGGGCTATTTCTTCCCGCATCTGCATCCTATCCCCACTGCCTCCTGCTCTCTGCACGGTGGGAAGGATGAAGTAGATGCCATGGGGGCCTGTGCCAGGGAAAGCACGAGGAAGCACCTACCCAGGCAGGGAAGTAGGCTTCTGGCTCAAAGTATTTTCCAAAGTGCTTGTTCCGCTTGAAGTTGCCCAGGTCGGCTTGCAGCGCAAACGCCGCCAGAAGGAAGTAAGCCTCCTCGCGCAGCACACACTGGGAATGCAGCACTTGCTTCCTCAGGTGCCAGTAATAGTAGTAGCGTGCCGTTCTGTCGCTGGACGGGGAGAAAGAGAAGATGGCTGGTGAGGACCCCGCAAATCTTGGAGCACTGGGCCCTGGCACAGAGCAGGGCAATGCCCAGCCGGGGGCTGCTCGCCGAGATCACCCACCCGCCACCTCCATCCTCAAAAGGGAGCCCATGGGAGCTCAGGAGCTTCATCTTACCTCTCTCTTCTCCACAGTGAACAATTCCCACCGGTTATGAAAGCAGCTATTCCCCCTTGTCTGCAAACCCTGAATACAATCTCAGCAGTTCACTCCCTCTTACAGCACTTTAGGGCGAGATGTCCCCAGCCAGTACCTCTTACAGCTAGCAAACTAAGCGCGTGAAAAACGTGCTGCCCTGCGTTCTGCCGAAGGACTCCACCAAATGTCTAGGCAACGCTTGGTTTAACACGCTGGCAGAAGTATTCGCGTGCCTGATCCTGGCATCCCTGAGTCTCATTTGGATTTCTCCAAGTCGCAGATTTTCCAAACAAGCTTGCCTGTGTATTTCAAGGAGGTCCCAGGGAGCTGGGGCTTGCACTGGAGCAACTCTATGCAAGAGACAGGGGCAAACAGGCACTTGCACCCACAGGCTTGCACTGGCCCACGGGAAACACGAAGCTATACCTCCTGCAAGCCAGGAGCTGGGTGTTTCAGTCAGGAAATGCCTGCCCTGTTAGGGGAGTGTGTCAGCAGGCATCCTGTGTGCGAGCACTTTTTGAAGTGTGGGCTCCCTGCCATACACCGCTAATTAGCCAGAAGCTGCATCCTGTGTGCTTTTGGCTTTACAATGGGAAAAGAAAGGCTGCGATCCCCTGCCCCCAGCCAACCTGCAACTTCTCGAAGAGACTTGCTGAATCTTGCTTAATTGAAGAAAACCACCCATAATATCTCTCTCTTTAAAACAGCTGCACAGTAACACACTATCCATTTTACATTTCTTTCCTTTTACATTAACAGAGGCTAAGAACAAATAAATATTCATCCTGCAAAACCCTGTTCAAACTCTAACCAGCTAGAAACACCCAGGATGTTTTCCATTCAATCCCATTGCTTATTAAGGGTTTTTTTTTGCTGTTATAAAAATGCATCTGTTGACACTTTCGTCCCCTACCTTATCAATCTGCCATTTTCCACGTAATATTGCACTCGAAAGTGGATAATCATTGGTGGACCGAATTGGTCAATGCCCTGCGTGAAAGACAGAAATGTTTAGCATTCTCTCTACAGAGGGTACAAAGGGGCAAATAACTCAATGGGAAGATCAGTGTTTACGCTGGTCTCTGAAATGTCAGGAAAATCACGCAGTCTTGGATGCTTCAGGACAAAATTCATCACCACGGCCCCCTCCCCTAAAAAGCCTGAGGAGACCAAACAATTTGAAGGATGTTGACCCAAACCGGGATGTCTCTCTAAACTGGATCCTTTTTTATTTTAATAAAATGTTTCCTGCATGTTTGCAGAATCTGCCGTGTCCTGAAAACTTTCAAGAGAAAAAAAACTGAAAGGAAAAAAAAACAGCCCGGTAGCCTGCTGGCTCATCTTGGCTACCCTCCACCCATTCTTTTCTCATCTTCCTCTCTCACCAAAAGTCAAGTTAGCCATGGGGCAGGATGCTTCTCGACACAAAAAAATGCTCACTTTCCATTTCAAGTAAGAATTATATTTTAAAAAAAGGGTTAGATTTCCAAAGTGACAAAGAAATTCAACAGAAAGGTCAGAGAAAAGGTGGAAGAAAAATGAAGGTGGCTTCCAAAGTACGGCTAGAGGATGTCTGTGAGATTTTACAGAACCTGTGAGTTTTTAAAAATGCATTTCTCCCAGCTCTTAGGGAAAGGCATGCTATTGCCATGGTATGCATTTGTTATCTTAGTGCATTTCCCCCCTGTTATCTCAAGCCTCCAGCAAGGGATGCTGTGAACACCACTTTGCAGAGCTTTAGTTCGGGCTCCTGGAGCGACCCCTTGTTACTCACTTTTATCAGGTAGCCCCTACCCCCAGGCCTGATGCCTGGGTTTCTGGGCTAACTGCTCTTAATAGCTCTGCCTTTTATAACAAGGGCTCATTACAGAGCCCTAATGTCATTGCCCAGCTTTCCCTAAATAGTTTGCAAGGGATCCTCTGCGCAAGCCTAGGAACCTGCATTATTTCAACACATGATGAACCTCCTGGTTCTCCTCGTTAGGCGCTTTGCCTGGAAAAGCTTCAGCTGCCCTCTTGTTAGGAGGCCAGAAGGGAACACAAATTCAAAAGCAATCTCAAGCCCTCTGTGCCCCTGTCTTCATCAGGTTCAATTACTTTTCCATGCTTCAAAGCTTCCTCTTCCCCTCACAACTTGCAAACCTTTCCCTGGTGGGTAATGGCCAAGCCTACCCGAAACACTGACTCTGCAGAGAACATGACCCGGAGGCAGGATACAACCAGCCGTCATTCCCGGGCTCTCCCCCCAGCCACGGCCTACTACTACTGTACCTTGCTGGCTTCTTTCTTCCATTCCTTTGGGCAGTACTTGTAGAGTTTCTGGGTCAAGTCCATATAGACGTGCTCATTGTCTGTGTTGGAAAGAGAAGAGGTAAGATGGAAGAATGCAAGGTGGAAGAATGCAAAAGCTTTCCCTGGATTTTTTTGAGAGAGACCATCTCACTCCCACCATTAAAGATGCTGAGACCACAGGAATCAACCTTATGGTGAGAACACATGAATCAACCAGGCTGCGGCGTGAACAAGAAGCAATCATGCCTTCACCCTCGGGCACTTCATGCCTTTATAAGCCAAGCTCCCGTTGCCCAGTCGGTCAGTAGGGGAAGTATTGGTTTCACTGAGAATGTGACTCGTCTTAGCTCCATCTCTTGGCCACAGTTGGCTCCATTCGTCATGCTAAATGCCACTCATTAGTGACAGGAGTTAGGGAGTAGCAGCCTCCCTCCTGCTTCATAAATCAACCGAGGCCAGATCCCACTGTGATTTACGGGTTGTTAATGTTATTACTTTATTTCCCAAAGGGCCTAACCTGGCTCAGGGCTCTACTGTGTGAGGCGTGGGACAGGCAGAGGACTGAAGAGGGAGAGTTAATATTTTCCCTGTCTGCGTATTTTTCCAAGACCCTTTATTTTTGACCTTATAAAAGGTGCTGATCAACACTGAGATGGCAAGAGCAAAGGGACAACAATCAGGCTTCGGATGGGATCGTTCAAGCTGTTACTCGGATAACAGGATTCATAGCAGGATGGTATCGCCCAGCCGAAAACTGGACAGCAGCAGGTAGAGCCCGACTTGCAACTCCAGAATAGGGAAGTCATTCTTGCTCCAGTGAGCACAAAGGGAAAAAATAATGCCCCAGCCCTGCACCCACCTGAAACACCATGCTTCCTACTGAGTCCCTATAAGACCTCTGCTAGTCGGGCACTGCCTTGCACTGACGGTTCCTTGAAGGTGCCCCAGGCTTCTTCCTCGGTGGCTACAGTGGGTTTAGAAAAAGTGCAATGGATCCGAGGAGATCAGTTCTTGCCGGCCAACATATAGGACTTTGCATTTGTGCACAGTGAGTTTCTCCTGCCTCTTGTGACCATCCACTTCAGACAGCCTCTCAGAGGTTCCTCCCCATCCTCTCTTGCTCTGGCCATAACGAGTAGTTTTGTATCAAGAACGACTGTCACCACTTCATGGTTCGTCCTTTCTCCAGACAACACCTTTGCACCCCAGTCCTAGTATTGACACACTTGAGTTTTTAAACATTTCCTTATTTACGTATGGTGCCAAAGGGGGCGAATTTTAATGCCCAGGTTAAAATCTAGTTCCAGGAATAAACGGGCCAGAGGTAGGTCTCCTTTGAGAATGAACTCAGGTGCTCTAAGGATACATGTAGACCAGTTTTTCAACCTTTTTTTTAAATTTGAGGATCCCAAAAAAATTTCGAATGGAGGCACAGCCCCCTTTGAATTATAAGTGTGGGTATTCACATACTTTTGATTGATCATAGTAATCTTTTGCAGACCCCTTTTGACATAGGCTGCGGACACCCAGGGGCTGGCGGACCACAGATCGAAAACCACTGATCTAGAGGGTCAGCTGCCCTCAACACAGATTCAGGCCCTACCATGTAACGGTGAGACATACAACATATCAAAGTGGACTTATTGAATTGTTAAGTGTTTGGGGGGAAGACTGCAGCAGCTGCCTGGTTGTAGGAGTGCTGCTATTATAGGGATTAAAAGTGTTAGATGTTTAATAATGGAAATGGTCAGTTGTGGACACAGCTGGGCTTTTTTAAATTGAAACCAGTTGATTTTGCCTGAGCAGAAGCAATGGCTCTACAGTGCTCCCAAAACGCCGAGAAAGAAAACAGCTCTTCCACATAACCGCGCATGGAAAGGATAGGTCTCTCCTTTGTCTGTGCCCTGCTCGTTACTCCAGTCTCCCCATCAGCTCCTTCTTGTGCTAAGATCGCAGGTGCCAGTATTAGGTCTCTGGAGCATGCTTTCCACAATGCAAGTCAATTAATTAATGCTGGAAGGGCAGAATTGCAATGTTGGAAGGGCTAAGGGTCTAATCACAGCTACTTAAACACCACTTCCATGGGGATACAATGTACCCAGTGGGACAATGACCAAACCCACTGCAAGACACTTTGCTCTACCTAAGGTCAAGGCCCCCCGAGTATTTGCCATCCATGCTCTTATTGCTGGATACGGGCTGAGGAGCTGGCAGAGCCGGTGTTAAGAGATCGGGAGGCTTTCCATTCAGAGAGAAAACGGTTTGCATGCTGAACTCCAACCATCCTTGCACTTGCATTTCCCTAAGAGCCAAGCAAACCTCCTCCGACCCAGCTACCGAGGAGGTGGAAGACTTCCTCCCTGTCCCCCCTCTACTCACTTGATGTGTTACTGTTTTTTTTCCAGGGATTTGAGCCAAGGAACAAGGATCGTTCCTACACACCCACCTACAACTCAGGTGCCCAACAGGTGGGAAAGGATCTGGCCTTTTCTGCCAGGTCCCTCCTTGAACAGGCTACACAGCAGAGAACAGCTGTTGCTCTGGTCCTGCCTGTAGCATTTGGGAAGGGTCGGAGCTTGCATGTATTTATTAAGGTCCCAGCCTGGGATTCCCGAGACATTTAAAACAAGGTAAAAGCCTGGTGTTTTGGGGAGAGGGAGTCGATGTGAAGACTAGTACAAAAGCACACATCACGTGGTGGCAGCTTCCTGCCTACAAAGCCCTTTCGGGGCTCCCCTACACCCTTGCTGCCGCCGACTGCATGCAGGCAAAGGGAATACAGCACACACTGCTGGGAGTTGGACAAGACAGCAAGCTCCAAGTCAATGATAAAGCCTCAGCCCCGAGTCTGGGTCCACAATTGGATTTAACAATCTCTACATTGCATGGAGGAGGACTGCCCAACCGCTAAACCAAACCATCCCACTCGTCGCTGACTGGGAGATGGCAGGAGACGCCGGGACCCCAGTTCAGTAATTACTGGAGCATGCGCTCAAGGCCCAGGGACACCAATGAGACGCAGCCATGTGCCAATGCGTGCTGTTGAATAGCTTTGCTGATCTGAGGCCTCAGTCCAGCCCAGCCGTTGACACTTGCCCTCCCTTCCCATGCAACGTACCCCTTTGGCTAGTCTGCCGTCTGGTAGCAATCATCTCTCAATCACACATGACTCCAAGAGATACGGCTGGTGAGCAGACAAGAAAGTCAATCGGGTCACATAAAAGCTAGGGCGGGCTTTGAAGGAAATCAGAACATATTTTTTTAGTCTAGCCTGCAAAGGAGCTCTTATTTATTTACTGAAGTGGCGATTAAACAACATTTTGGGGAAACATGAAGAGTATGTGAATGCTCATTTAACAGCAGCTGTGCTCAGCAGGGGCATGAACCACATCTCACTGACCTCAGAGCGCTGCAGCTGGCCCCTGGAGATTAGAAAATGTAACAGTGTGCACAGCCATTTATTTAAACACAGGAGGTAGAGAGAAATTGCAAGACCTAGATGTGAGACGATCCTAGCCCCACAGTTTTATCCTGGTATCCACTTTCGTATAGACCTGTCCATTGATCTCAAATGAAATTTCTCCGGGAAGCGAGACACTTTTACAACGGCCAATAATTCACGTCTATCACTGCTTTCTGGTATAATGCAAAAGTTATTTATTACCATTTAACTCATGGACTGGCAAGTGAATTCCTATCCTGGCAACCCAGACACTTCTCTTGCATATCACAGCCGACACAACTAGATTGCACGGATAGAACGAAAGATCCACAGTCAAAAAATACCAGAAGCTCCTTTATGGCTGCAGAGAACAGGACAAGAAACAGCAGTCTTACATTGCAACAAGGGGAAATTTAGGTGGGAGATAAGGAAGAACTTTCTGACTATGAGGATGGTTAAGCCCTGGAACAAATTACCTAGAGAGGATGGGTAATCTCCATCCCTGGAAGTTTTAAACAGCAGATTAGACAAGCACTTTGCTCGGATGGTTTAGAAAGGGATGTTCCTGCCCTGAGCAGGGGGTGGGCAAGGTGATCGGACAAGGTCCCCTCCAGCCGTAGTTTACTAGGCTATTTGGCATACGGAGCTGGAAATTTTCCCCAAGACTTACTCTGTATGACGCTGAGTCCGAAGAGATGGCAGTCCTTCAACCTCAGAATGTCACACACCTGGACAAATAACTCATGACACAGTATTTTAACCTGCAATAAAACAGAGGATGCAAGACGTCAGTGAGAATCGGCAACACATTCTGTGCGCACTGGGCGAGCACGTAGGAGCAGCGGGTTCGATCCTGAAGCCTCCGCACAGACACAGCTTCCACGGAAAGTCAATGCAAGCTTTGCAAGCACGACCGTGGAAACAGGCCTTGCCTTTTGTCGCCTTTGTGCAGCTATAAAAAATGTCAAGGCCAAGCAAACAGACGCCTATGTCCCTTGTCATCGTGCCACAAATCCCTGACATTTGCAGCTGAGACAAAGGTGGGATTAATTTGTGGTGCTATTTAGCAGCAGGCTGCTATTTGCTTTGTGGCAGGAGAGCCTGGGCAGCCCGGAGCTGTCTGCGCTCTCCAGCCACCCCATGCAGATGCTGTGGGGGTTAAAGCAGCCCAATCCGGGGCACTGTGGGAATTCCCACACAGAATCAGGCCCCTCAAGTCCCAGGAGCACCTGACCAGCTCTCTCTTCTTACAGAGCCGTGCCTCAGGGAATTTGGGGGCACATCTCTGTAATCAGGAAAAGCCGGGGTTTCTCACGTACAGAGATGCAGCCCTGGGATTTCAGGGCATGTCTCCATAAGCAGGGAAAGTCAGGATTTTCCTGCAGAGAGAGACAGGGAAATCCTAGGGGGTACATCTCTAGAAGCAGGGAATCCCGACTTCCCCTGCTCAGGGAGATGCGCACTGGAGACTCCTGGGGACATATCTCTGTAAGAGGGAGAAGCTGGGCAGGTGCTCCCACGGCGTGTGGGACCCAATCCTGCACAGGACAGGACCCTGCAAGACCCAGGAGAACATGCCGTCCATTGTCCCACAGCATCAACAAGTGGGATAATGGGCGACATGTTTCACGCACTGACGTGGACCAGCTGTGTCAGGAGCAGGGATCCTGGTTTTCTCCGATTAAAAAAAATCCCCAATGTTCAGGTTAAAAAAGTAACCCAAAATCCACAAGTTTCCATGATCAAAATGAAACGCCACTATATACACATGTGTGTATTAGAGGCACTTCTTTTTAATCATGGAAACATGTGGATTTTGGGTTATATTTTTTAACCTGAACATTGGGGATTTTTTTTAATCAGAGAAAACCAGGATCCCTGGTCAGGACACATCCCAGGACACTTGGCTACGTCTACTTCTAGCCTAACAAGCCCTCCTCCACGCTGCAATTCGAAGCCTGCTATGCACAAACTATTCCAGGCAGCCAGCGGCCTCTGCGATACGTTCAGGGATTTGAGGTCCCACGGTCTCTGGGCAGGTCTGAAATTCACCCCGGTGACATAGGTACCTACCACTTTTGTTAGGAGAATATTTTTTCGCTACAGCAATACCAGGACTTAAGTTAGATGCACCCCGTTTGTCCTGCGTGAGATATTTACTGTGCAGTAAATGCCCCAGTGTCTACACATGTGCCCGTATTAGGGCACACAAAACTAAAAAAAACTCTGCATAAGAAGTTTTTTCATGTGCAGCACTGCATGTGCAGGCGCTGAACCGGGTGGTTAACCCCGCCTTGGAGCACCCTTGTGCCCAAGCCAGCCCCTCCGCAACACATTGAGCCCGGCTGGAGCAGACCCAGGCTGGCAGGCTGACCCCATGGCCCCTCTGCCAGACAGGGCTGCTCTGACCCATCTCGATGTGCAGTGGTCCCGGGTGCACATGCAAACTGCATGCCTGGGAGCTTCCCAGGAGCAATACACTGCGGAGCAATAAACTCCATGGTTTCTTCATGCCCATTAATGGCACATCTAAAACTGTAAGACTATGGGTTTGCTATGGTTTAAAAATGAGAAGGAACTGCAAGGGCCAGCAATGCTGCGGGCTCCTTCAATGCACGGTACACTTCCCTTCCCAATGGAGTGATCCCAATTCTCCATTCTCTTGCACAACTGCTTGCACCCATGTAAAGTGCAAGCAGTGTGGGTATAAGACTGATTCCAACTCATTTTAGACCCATGTCGGACTGTTGTATGTAGCTGTACACAGTGCTTGGGAAACAGGACTCAAGTCCCATACCCTCTGCTCTGAATCTACGGGGTGCAATATCCTTGGTTTCCTTCTCCAACCTAGGCCTCATGCACAACTGTTCTTCGAACCCACTCTACTTTTCAAAAGGCTGGGTTTTGCCCTCATCCCCTAGAAATCAGTGGGAGTTCTGCACGAATATGAAAAGCCCAAACAGGACCTGCAACCTTGATTATACCCAGCCCTTCGGCAGGCCGTGTCCTCATGAAGACAGCATGGAGCACACTCAAAATTGTCTCTCGGAGCAGTGCCCGATGCTGAAAGAGGACGAGGCAGGAGCGAAATTCTTAGGCATTTTCCAACAGGAATCACTTTTTTGGGAAAGTTGTGCTGCTTTTGCAAACAGGAGGATAAAAATAACAGCAATCTGACCTGCCTTGGAAACACACTTGTTAAAAATATCCGTGCGTTTCCTGTGCCTCAAATCAAAGTGTGTTTTCCAAAACACAAAGGGAAGGTTACTAAAAAAACCCCCAAAAGTCTCAAAGTAATCTAGAAGAGGGCTTGCAAGCACCACTGGGTAAGCTGTCAGGTCGTGTTCCCATCCCGTGTTTTGACGTGCGGGGCCACGGAGAAGCAAGGCGATGGTGCTTGTCAAGTGGCCTTGATAATAAATCCTGCTCTGCCCTTAATTCTGATAACCTGCTGCAAGAGAGTTGCCTTGGGCAGAGACTCTGCTCGGCTGTCAGTCATCTGGCCCCACGGGCATCACCTGCGTCATGGCAATCGCACTATGCGGCCAAGACAGAGCTTCGTTGGAGACTCCAGCGTGGGCCACGAAAATGAAGGCTAAGCAGGGTACGCGCTGGTTGAGAGGCACAAAGGAGAAAGGCCGGGGGCCAGCGCCTCGTGTCCCCTGCACATACATACGTGTATAATGATGTTGAGGGAGTCGTCGTTGGGGAGGAAGATGCAAACGCTGCGGCGGTCCTGCATGACTCTGTTATTATGGAAGTTCAATTTGTTCATCGTGTTCTGGGCTCTCTCTAGTGGATCGAGGGGCGCTCCTGGGCCTGGGAGAAACGGCTGGGT